TGTGACCCTCCCAGTGCTCTGTCAGTTCACCTGTCCGTGCAGGTGTGACCCTCCCTGTGCTCTGTCAGTTCATCCTGTCCTTGCAGGTGTGACCCTCCCTGTGCTCTGTCAGTTCACCCTGTCCGTGCAGGTGTGACCCTCCCTGTGCTCTGTCAGTTCACCCTGTCCCTGCAGGTGTGACCCTCCCTGTGCTCTGTCAGTTCACCTGTCTGTGCAGGTGTCACCCTCCCTGTGCTCTGTCAGTTCACCTGTGTGTATATTTCCACATCTCTTCAACATCACCTACATCATCGTTTCTAGACCTCTATAGAATCTTCACTTATCTTTATCCTCTGTTACCAAGATAAAGTTAAATCTCTAATGAACTTCATGGAGGTGCTCTTCTCACAGTCAGCTAGAGACTGTTTTCTGAATAGTGTGGATCTGGTGCCAATCCCAAATGCTTAAAGATAAAATCAGTAGAAACAAAGGAACTATATACAAAAGCAAAGATTAGTACCAAAGTAAGGAGAATTTTGAAAATTGGGCCTTTGTGTTCTAAACTTTTATTCAACAAAGAAAATAGGCAGGAAAGAAATAAAAGAGTGAGGTAGAAGAATGTAGATAGTTATGGAAAAGACTTTATAAATACTACCAAAGACAACAGGAAGAAAGTGGGATGGCATAACTGTTCTTTTCTCAAGTGAAAGGTGTTTGAATTTCATTGATAAATATGTGCAGTGGATATTTTGAAATTCATCCTAAAGCCCATTTTCCCAACATTTCATTGTAAAAATTTTCTCCCAGAAAAGTGCAGAGAATGCAATAATAAACACTGTGGTCCCACCGGATTCTACTCTTAATAAACACTTCACTTTCTTTCTTAGCCGTCTGTCAGCATATCATGTCTATCCGCTCTTCAAGCCAACTTTTTTTTTCTGCAATTTTTTTGGCCGGGGCTGGTTTGAACCCACCACCTCCAGCATATGGGGCTGGCGCCCTACTCCTTTAAGCCACAGGCACCGCACCAAGCCAACTTATTTTTTGATGCATTTTAAAATGAGTTGAAGACACAAGTATTGTAATATATATTTTTTAATTTCAACATAAGTACAATTTACAAATATAATACATTAAAAAATTATGTATAGTATTATTTTATTCTTTGGCATATTCTTTTGGCAGGGACTGTCCTGCCAAAAGCGGGATGTCTGGTCACCTTAGCAATCTCCCCAAATCTTAGGTGTCAGGGCCCAGGACTGGCCAGGTCTCGGGCCCAACTTAGGTAGGTTCCGGACACGGACCACTAAGCTACCTTGCTCAGGAACAGTTTCTCGTAGGTGCTTGAGGGCTATCTACTTTAGCTGGAGAGAGAGAGACAGAGTATCTTAGAGAGAGTAAAGGTCTTCTTAGAACAGATAGCTCTTAGTCTTTAGCAGAGCTTGGTAATCTTCAGCAGAGATGCCGTCCTGGCGTTCTGTAGGCCGGAGAGGAGACAGAGTAAGTGGATCCGTGATAGAATGCGCGTGCCTCCTGTCTGCCTTCTCCTCCAGCCTAATATAAGGCTGAGCTCGTGCTTCTCAACACCACAGGTGTAGAGACTGCCAATTCACCAGTGCTCTCATCTTGCGAGCGCACTCATGCTTGTTAGAACCAAATCTCTCTCCATGCCCTTTTCACCAGGGTGTTCCATTACAGGTATTTCCTATAACTCTCACTCCTCTTAGCCATAGGCTATACGGGCTGCTACACTTAGGTATTCTTACTCTGTGAGATTCATCACTGTGTCTGCCTGTGAGACCCAAATCTTTATGTCCCCTCATAGTCCCCTCCCGGCTGCCACTGTTCAGGTTTGTGCCATGGGTGAATTTCGCTCATCCTAGAATTTCCTGTAAATGAACCTGTACTCTGTAGCTTGCTTTTGTATAAGGCAGCGGTTCTCAACCTGTGGGTCTCGACCTCTTTGGGGGTCGAATGACCCTTTCATAGGTGTCACGTAAGACCATCCTGTATATCAGATATTTATATTATGATTCATAACAGTAGCAAAATTATAGTTATGAAGGAACAATTTTGTGGTTGGGGGTCACCACACCATGAGGAACTGTATTAAAGGGTCGCAGCATTAGGAAGGTTGAGAACCCCTGGTGTAAGGCTTCTCCCAGTCAGCCTTTGGTTTCACCTATAATACGGGATGGGGTGATCTCCTTCTTCTGATTGCAAGTGGCTCAACTGACTTGGTGGACTTTGTCCTCAGGCCTGTTTCCTGCCATTCTCAATCTGGCCAGCAATGCTCACATCAGCACTAACGCCACCTGCGGTGAGAAGGGGCCCGAGATGTTCTGCAAACTCGTGGAGCATGTGCCGGGTCGGCCGGTACGGAACCCACAGTGCAGGATCTGTGACAGCCGCAGCGTGAACCCCAGAGGCAAGTGTCACCCCTTCTATTCCCAGGCGCCCGCAGGAATGCAGGCCTCCAAAGTGGTGACGGAGGCTTTTTGTGGGAAGCTGTGGACACTGTTCGCTTTCCCCGCTATTCATTTCCATTACCTTTATGGCTTAGAAGTAGAGCTCTCACCCAGGGGGCACAATGTGAAGTACGCAGCCCGCAGTGGGGTGAAGGGGTCAACTATAATGCGAACTTTACCCAACAAACGCAAACAATGTAAGCTGATCATTTGTACCCTCATATCAATCTGAAATTTAAAAAAGAAGACTGGCTTGAGACCTAAAAGCTTTAGACATGTAAGATTTTCTTCCCCAAAGACACTGCATGCTTTTAAAGTGTAAGTTTCCTCTTTAGATGTGTATTCAAAATTAACAAAATCTGTCAGAGTAATTAGAAAAACAAATTACTATGTACATGTTATGTGTTAAAACCAACTCTATTCAACTGAAGAAACTTAAAAAGCAAAAGGGTTCCTAGTTTATCACTTGTTTCCATGTTTCACAAAAGAGGAGGAGGGTGAAAGTGCCGAGTGCTTGGGAACAAACAGCAACAACAGACATTTTGAGCAAGAACTGAGAGGAACCTATGTTTTTATTCTCTTTTAACAGAACGGCACCCAATATCGAACGCGATTGATGGCACCAATAACTGGTGGCAAAGTCCCAGTATTCAGAACGGGAGAGAGTATCACTGGGTCACAATCACTCTGGACTTAAGACAGGTGGGTGAGGCCAGAACCACGGAAGAGTCTGTGGGTTGCTGAGCTGTGTAGTCGGGAGAGCTGGCGCGTCTCTTGACATGTCTGCTTTCTGGTCTTGCTGTTTTCCACCAGGTGAGTCAAGTGGAACACAGGAGAAGTCCATGCTGCCATTTCTTGTCACATGTATCATCCCCAGGGGTCTCGGAGGAGCTGAGTGCAGTCCCTTCTGTGTGGCCGATGCTCTCTGAAACTGTGTCCACAGGGCCCTACCTCAGGCTGTGTGCTGGATGCCAACGTTCCCACCTTAGTCTTGTTATTAGCATTGTGCAAAGTTATCGTAGAAGGGGTGTCTAAGGCTTAGAAACCAAAGGGGACAGTGTCTCGCCTCTTGGGCACGTCTCACCCTTGCCGGATGCTGTCTGTCTGGGCTGTGTGTTAGCTGGAGTTGCCCAGTACTGGCCTGTCCTGGGCCTTCAGCACGAGTTGGGAAGGCCACTGTGTTAGCGGCTCTGACCACACCTCATGCTCTTACCTTGTTTCAAGGCCACATAGGAGAATGGAGAGAACTAGGATATGAGCCCTGATTGCCCCAGTATTTCTGCATAAGGGAAGGGAAGGGGTCAGAGTAAAAGAGATGAAAAAAGAGAGATGGCAGGTATTTTGGAGCCATTATCACAATTTCTGATTTGAATTCTCCAGAAAAGCCATTGTATGGATTTCTTATTTCCAGTTTCCCTTATCTTAGAACACATAAATTTCATGTAAAATATACAGTTGAAAGAGACAAATAGTTGAAATGTGCATTGTAGGATCCTTCCTTCCTCCCTTTCTTTCTATGAGTCCCAGTATGGCACCCTGGGTAGAGTGCCATGGTGTCATAGCTCACAGCAACCTCAGACTCTTGGGGTCAAGTGATCCCCTCAGCCTCCGGAGTAGCTGGAACTACAGGTGCCCACCACCATACCTGGCTAACTTTTTTTTAGAGATAGGGTCTTGCTGTTCCTCAAGCTGGTCTCCTGAGCTCAAGCAATCCCCCTGCCTCCACTTCCCAGAGTGCTGGGATTATAGGTGTGAGCCACGGCACGAAGCCTGTATTGTCATCTTTGCCAGTCTGAGAACAAGAAAAGAGGAGGGGAAGTTAGAAAAGCCTTGACCTGCTGGGCGCCGTGTTTCAGATCTATTATGCTCACACTGTGGGAGGCAGAGGTGGAGGATTGCTTGAGCTCAGGCGTTTGAGACCAGCCTGAGCAAGAGCGAGACCCCATCTTTACTAAAGTAGCAAAACTAGCCAGGCATTGTGGTGGACAACTGTAGTCCCTGCTACTCAGGAGGCTGAGGCAAGATTACTTGAGTCCAAGTGTTTGAGGTTGCTGTGAACTATGATGCCATGGCACTCTACTCAGGGTGACAGAGTGAGACTTGGTCTCAAAAATATACATATATATGGTAACAAACAAAAACAACCTTTTGACTGTTTCAGTTCTGTAAAAATGAAAAACCTCTAAATATATTTTTCTCAAGTAAAATCATAGGTAGACCTGAATATTATTAGGAGTCATAAAACTTAATATTGTAAATATGTTCATGAAACTTAATAAAATATGTCAACTCTTGAGGTTTCGTGATCAAATTAGCTACATTCTACCTGGGCAAATGCTAAAAATCTTGATCTTGTTCTTGATTAACTGATGACAGCTGATGAAATTACAGCATGTTTAGCTTCTGGGTGTGATGCTTGGTTATCTGGAAGATAAACTAAGGAAAAGATGAAAAGTAGAGTTATCAGGAATTCAGTAACGCCGTACAATTTGCAGTAAGGCTTAACTGCAGTGTTTGTTTTAGTAACGGATTACAAGAGGAATGACTAGATTTATTTCTTTGTTTGTTTAAAATAATGCCTGCTGTTTATTTCTTTCATTGATTCAGGATACTTTAGACAGTGGTTCTCAACCTTCCTAATGCCTCCTAATGCCGTGACCCTTTAATACAGTTCCTCATGTTGTGGTGACCCCCAACCACAAAATTATTTTCGTTGCTACTTCATAACTGTGGTTTTGCTACTGTTATGAATCATAATGTAAATATCCAATATGGAGGATGCATTTTCATTGTTACAAAGGGGTTGCAAAACATAGGTTGAAAATCGCTGCTTTAGAAGGTATGCTGTTAGACATTTAGCAATATCTTACCTTAAAAATATCCAAGGGAGGTGGCGCCTGTGGCTCAAAGGAGTAGGGCGCTGGCCCCATGTACCAGAGGTGGCGGGTTCAAACC